TATTCACACAAACACTTGTACACAAATAACTTGTACATAGCATTACTCATAATAACCAAAAAAAACTGGAACAAGGTAAGTGTTCACCAACTGATGAATGAACAAACAAACTGGTATATCCATAAATGGAATACTATTTAGCCATAAAAACAAATAAAGTACTAATCCATGCTATAGCACATATGAACCTTGAAAACACTATGCTAAGTGAAAGAAGGCATTCACAGAAGGCCACCTACTGCATGATCCCATTTATATGAAATATCCAGAATAGGCACATCCATAGAGACAAACTAAATTAGTGGTTGCCATAGGCCTAGGAGTGGGGGCTTTGGGAAATGCCTGCTAATTGGTACAGAGTTTCTTTCTAGGGTGATGAAAACATTCTAAAATTGATCGTCGTGATGGTTTTGGACAGCATACCTTGTGTGTGTCACATATTAAAACTCACTGACCTGTGTGCTCTTAAAGGGAGTATTTTATGGCAATAGTAGTAGTGCTAGTCGCTCAGCCGTGTCCAACTCTTTGCAACCCCACGGACTGGGCTCCTCTGTCCATGGGATTCTCACGGCAAGAACACTGGGGTGAGTTGCCATTTCCTTCTCCAGGGGAATCTTCCTGACCCAGGGATTGAACCTGGGTCTCCCGCGTTGCAAGGAGATTCTTTACCATCTGAGCCACCAGGAAGCCCCATAAATTATATTTTAACAAGACTGTTTAAAAAAACTTTCGAAAAAAAATTTTTTTTTTTAAAAATAAACAAACTTCTGACAGAGAAAATTCAGTTGTGGCATCGAGTTGTCCCTTACATGATTCACTGTGTCAGTCACATAGGGTAAGAGATAAAGGATGCTCCCTTGAGGTGAGCAACATGGTGGCCCTGATCAAACAGCTTTAGAGGTAAATCCTACCAAGTAGTCAGGAATGCATAATTCCAATATTACACAATTTCTTCTATAGAATAAAACTGCAACACTCTCCAACCCATCTGTGGTTAGCATCATCTTAATCCCCAGTGTAGGCAAGGGCAGTATAAGAAGGAAAAATTACAGGCCAACTCAATAAATAGATTGAAGGATCCAGTCAAAAATATTAGCTGATTGCAGCAACAGATTAAAAACATCCTCCATCATGACCAAGTAATATTTAAAGGCAATGTTGGTTTAACGTTAGTAAGTCAAATTGACCACATTAACAACTTTCAAATGAATCATATATGACCATCTCAAAAGATATATGATAGAAAAAAGAATTTATTACTGATTAGACGGGGAAAAAATCCTAGGAAACAAGGGATAGAAAGGAATATCCTTAACATGATAAAGGTTATTTAAATATACACACCCAGCGAAAGAGCTAACATTAAGTAACAAAATGCTGAAAGCATTTCTTTGGATTAAAATCAAGAACAATAGAAAAATGCCTGCAATCACAATTCACTTTAATAAAGCTTCTGATTCCCATGGTGGTGATCCAGGCACCCACTTTGAGAAATCCTGGGCTGGAGAAACCAGTTGCTATGAGATGACTCCTTGCTTCCGGGTGCCCAAGCCCACCTACCCAGCACCACTGATCTGGCTCTGCTTCTGCTCCTTCATAATTAGCCCAACACACTATTTCATTTTTCTTGGATCTTCACAGTAGCTCTGTGAGACAGATATTATCTCCATTTCATAGACAAGGAAACTGAGGCTTAGCATTACGAGTCTTGTCCAATTTCCCACCATAAATGGCAGAGTACAGTGCAAGGCTGAGAAAAGCTTTGCCTTTCCTCTCTACAGCCAGCACCTCAGGAACACTCCTGCCTGTGCCCCTAAATTTAGGCCTCCTGGACAATGTGGTGAGTTTACCTGTAGCCTGGGGGCCAGGGCTATCATTAACAAAAGATCCCCAATATGACACAAAATACTCTTGTTTCCTGGCCAAGGGTCATGCCGTGTTCCCCATGAACTTGCAGTCTAGACCTCCCTGTTTGTCTCTAGGTTGGCTTTGTATAGGAATCAACACCTAGACATTTATTCTGTTCTTTGAGCTCTTTGTTCACATCTTTCAGAGCTCCCTGACGTACCCAGGTCTGTTTTTAGGCACAAGGGAGACTTGAAATTATGAGGCATGCACCTGAGTCACACCTTCTACAGGAAGAGAGAACTGTCCTTTCCTGTAAGTAAGCCATTAGCAGGACTGTGCCAGAATAAAGGATGCCAAGAGGTGGGTGCCCCACCCCTACTGATGGGTGAACTCAGAGGGTAGGGAAGTGGCCTAGGCCACACAGCTGGCTAATATACAAAGGGAGAGGCGTCTGTACAGCGCAGCCTGCAGAGCTGTCAGCCCACAGCCGAAGGGGGCAGGGTGCGCATCAGAAGCTGCACAGAGGAGTCAGAAAGGAGGATGGATGAAATGGAGGGGAGGAGATGCAGTAACCCTTCTTCAGACAGAGATCAAGGCACGTGAAAGCCCAATCCGGTGGGGAGACTACAGAGAGCACCAGTGTGGCTGGAGAAGCGGGTTTGTGGATGGAAAACAGTGGAGGAGGTGGACAGGGGTCAGGCAGGGAATGCCAGGCAGGGAGCTGGGGAGGGAGTCTATGGGAGAGGCAGCTCAGTGCCTCCTCCCAACACACTCCACCCCTCCAAATGCAGAGGGCACAGGACAGTTGATAGTAATAGCCAACATTACTGACCTATCACATGCTGGGTGCTTCTCATAGGTTACCTCACTTAATCTTCACCACTACCCTAGGAAGCAGATTCTAGCACCACCCCATTTTACAGATGCAGAAACTGAGGTCGAGAGATTAAGGTCACTCTGCGGACCAAGTATTGGAACCCAAAGAGCTCACCAAAAGTAAGCTTAACATTTCTATGAAGTCTCCTATTTTAAATATTCATGCAAATTATGCATTTTCTCCTTAATATGCTTGCATCTGAATATGTTTAAGATGTCACTCCTCCTCCCCAACTAAATCCTCAAATAAAACCACCCTCCAGACAGGCAGAGCCACTGTGCTTCCCCTTGGGCCGCATGAACCTTGCACATGATGCTGGGAAGCCCAGTAGTGGATGTGGGAGCCAAAGGAAAGTTCTGAAGGAAACAGATGTGAGACGTGATGTTGGTCTCTGCCTCTGACTAGTGCCCACTGTACTAAAAAGAAAACTGTCACCTCCATCATTTATGGAAAACTGGACAAAGAAGACACATCATCTTCAGCCTCAGGGGCCATCTGGGTCCTTATCCTCAGAACCCCCATACATTCAGAATCCCAGCAGGTGACCCAAGATTCCCAGTGAGAACACTTTCTCTCTGGCATTTCTTTCCTGGGCACAGTCTTGAACCCAGCCTTGACCAAAACTCCTAGGAAGACATCCAAGAAGATACCTATAACCTCGGCCCCAAGAACCTCACAGCTTCCCTGCGGTCTCCCAGCTCCAGGTCTTCACTCATACCATTCCGTCTACCTGGAGTGCACTCCCCACCTCCGAAATCCTACCCATCCTCAAAACGCATCTTTCAGCTCATCCCTTTCATGGAGCCTTCCCTGATGCCCTCCTCCGGCAAGCGAGCAACGCCTCCTCTGAACAAACCTGCCCCTCCCTGAGCATACGCCCTAACCCACTTGGCCATGGAAGTGTTCCTGCACAGTTTTAAATCTTCCCAACAACACAGAGTCCCTTAAGGGCAGGCTTTGGGAGTGGTTCTTCTCTGGGCTCCACACACAGTAACACCTTGCACATAGTAAATAGGCAGTCAAAAACAATGTCCAGTGCATGAATCAAAGGATCACTCTGTGTCCCCACTCATCAGAGCCACTAGTTCTCTGTGGGTAGAACCAGCCAGGGAAACGCACCAGGAAGACGCCTACAGCCTCGTGAGAACGGAGGCAGGACCCCTGCTCAACACACTGTGGGGACCCGGCCTCATTTCCAGCGTGTCTGTTACCTGCTGCATCCTCAACGCTACCCTCCAACAGCTCCACATCCTTTTGATTTCACCCCAGTGCCTGCTGGCACCACCTAGCTTTGCAGGCTTTTAGGGAGAAGGTCTAGTGGTCTGTCTCCTCTTAACCTTCCACTCATGGTGCCAAGATTATTTGGGATTTTTTTTTGGGGGGGGGGGTAGTCATAAGGGCTGAGAAGTCAGCTGGGTGGAAAGGAGCTCTCACCCACCTTCCCTGTGACATCTTTCAGGTGAAACGTCTCACCATGAAACAACAGTCAAAAAGGAAAGAAATATGGACACTTCCCTGGTGGTCCAGTGGTTAAGACTCTGTGCAGGGGACACAGGTTCAATCCCTGTTTTGGGAACTAAGATCCCACATGCCTCATGGCCAAAAAAAAAAAAAAAAATTTTTTTTTAAAGGAAGAAAATATGACACCAAAACAAGGGTGTAGTGAGATGACATTACTTTGCAAGGGCAGCAGGAGGTGCCCCACGGGCCACAGCTCACAGGCTTCACGGCCTCACCTAAGTCTCACTAAACACACAGACGATCGCTGCACCCCAGGAGTTTCAGGGTAGCTGCTCTTGCGCACTCAGGCAAAAGAGGTGAACGACTCTCCCTCGTTGCCTCAACTCACAGCTGGCTCAGGCCTCCTGCAAGGACTGAGCAGAGCAAAGCCACACTCAGGTGACTATGCCCCTCGCCTGCTTCCAAGCACCCACGAGAGAGAATACTTAAAAAGCTGCCCCTCAGCCGGGAGCTGCTGGCTTCATCTCTGCAGCCTGACTCTGTGATCTCAATGATGGCTCTGTTTCAGGATAAAATACAGGACGTCACAGGCAAGGGCTACAGCTTAAGAAGACTTTCGGGATCACTTCCGTTTTCAGGTTTGGTGCAGGTGAGGGAAACAGGAAGCTTGAATCCCCCAAGGGAATCCGTGAGGGACTCCTTGCAGAGGGCAGGTCTACACAGAGAAGAGTGGGTGAAGACAGCAGTCGCCAGGCTGCGTGGGCCAAGCCCCAGTCTCCGCCTGGACCTCAACCACCGGCGCGAGAGCACATACCTGGGGCACCTGCTCCATGTTGAGCAGCCTGGGCAGCTTCAGGCTCAGCATCTTGAAACCGGGCTGGAAGACCGGCGGGTGACAGCCGGTCCCTGTCCCCAGGACTTGCTCAAAGTTCTGACATGGCTCCGGGTGCGCTGGCCAGCCGGGTCTGAGCTGCTTCACTGAAAAAGGACAGCGGGAAGAACTCCACTGAGTGTCAGCCTAACGCCAGCTGGGTCAAGACTGCCTAACTACAGAACAGACCTGTGCTTGTGATGGCAAGACAACCAGGCTTCCTTAAAAACAGCAGAGAGACAGACTGCTGAGTCATTCACTCTGAGAGTGATGGAGGAAGGTAATTAAATCACAATAGGGCAATCATAAAATTATAGCACTGGAAAGGGCTACAGAGGTCACCCAGTGCCCTCGTGTTATACAAGAGGGTCAGAGGCGTAGCACAAGCTCCCCAAGGCCACACAGCTTAGGGAGAGCTTGGGGCTGCTCACTCTCCCTGCTTCAGGTGCTACCCCTGGACAGACAGTGTGATCCAGGTCTGACCCACCAGGCGCTGCCCTCCAAAGAGAGGCAGCTTTTCCAGAAGGTTCATGGGAGCAGGATTGCCCTGAGACACACAAAAGGACCAGGCCAGGCAAATCCAAGGCACTTGGAGTCAGAGCAACAGGCCTGTTTACATGCAGGATTAACAGCTGTGAGTAATGTAAACTAGAGGAACGCAAAGCCAGGGAAAAGGCCCAAGAAACTGAAAAGTACTATTAGTAGCTGGGTTCAGCAAGAGAAAGAGCAGAGCTAGGAACTTACCATAGTCAATGCCTCATCTACTCCCATAATCATTGGGCCAAAAGCTGCCACCTCTTTAGAGCTCCCAAGGGGTTCTGTCCCTGGCTCTAAAAGGCCTGAAGACCCGGCTTACCTCTCTCGTAGCACCAGCCACATCTGACTGCAGGTGGAGCTACCTGCCGAGGCCTTGTCTTCCCTGCACTCACCCAGCCCCTACCAACCGGGGAGGATGATCCCGGGCTGGCTAGAATCTCAGGTGTGTGCTTGACCCATCCTGGGCCTTCAGCAAATGCTTTTTTAATGATGCAAAGTCGTTCACCCTTTGAGCCTAAGGTGTGCTTTTGCTTTTGTGTTTATACTTTTGCTTCTTATTATAGTTCTTTATGTTCTATATGTTATTATCTGAAACTATGTAGCAAAATATAATGTAGTTATGTTTCACCATAAATATGCTTTTATTCAAAACACTGGGGTAAGTAATTATTCACCACAGTCAAAAGGGGGCAATGATAGGGATAGAGAAGAATAATTAAATAGTTGGTTTAGAAATCTCACTACGGGATTAAAGACAGGGAAGGAATTTTAAGGCTGTTTGGGAAACTGTTGTAAGCTAATGACCACTCAAGAAAAGAATCCAGTAACCTAGCAACAATCTACACTACTTTGAAAGAAGACCAGGTGCATCCAAGTGCATCCAGGCACACTCAAGCCACAAACCCTGACAGTTAAAATACAGGACAATACGGGGTTTGAGTCTTACTATGTGAAGTCAGGGAGCTAATGGTCCTTGAAGAGCAGAATCTCTGAGTGTAGTCAAGAGAGGAAAATATGTGAAAGGGGAAAGAAACTAGGTGAAAGGGACATTACACCAAAACCTGAGATGAATTACCATATTTTAGTATATGCTGGCATCCTTCTGCTAATATACATATGATTTAATAGGGCCATCACAGTCCTGGTTAGACCACACAGGGTCAAAGGAGGAATTAATGATGTAAGCCTTGATGTCTGCCCAAGAATGAGGAAGGAGGTGGTCTTCTCCCCACCTTTCTCTCTGATTATAAGATATAGCTCTCTTTGTTCTAGGGGCTGAGCTCCCTTGCCTGCCCACTTGTATCTCTTACAAGCATCCTATACTAATAAAGTCACTCTTTGCCTACGGCTTTGCCTCATGCTGAATTCTTTTTGCAATGAGACAAAAGAACCTCAGCTTGATAAGCCCCGACACCAGGCAAGTGGTTTCAATTAAAAGAGTGGGTTTGAGTCCCCTCCTAAATCAGTGATCATGGGTTCAAATCCCATCCAAGGAGTGTGGCTTCAGAAACAACCCAAGCACCCATCAGCTCGTGGATAGATAAACTAGCAAATAAACAAGATGCAGTTTAAACATGCAATAGAATATTACTCAGTTTTAAAAAGGAATGAAGTTCTAATGAATGGATGAAACTTGAAAAAATTACACTAGGTGAAATAAGCCAGTCTCAAAAGGCCAAATATTGTATGATTCCAGTTATATGAGGGACCTGGCATAGGTGAATTTACAGAGACAGAAAAGGGGTTGGTGGGGAGGGAGGAATCGGAGCTGTTGTTTAAGGGGGTACCGAGTTTCTGTTTGGGAGGATTAAAAGTTCTACAAAGGGGTAGTGGTGATGGTTGCTCAATACTATAAATGTAAAATGCACTTAAAAATGATAAATTTTATGTTTTGTATATTTTACCACATCAAAAAAGTAGTTACAGAACATTTCTGAATGACAAAATAACAGAGAAAATAATTTTTTTTTAATCATTACATTTTACCTGGGTACATTTTGCCCAGGTTAAAAAAGAAAAGTTGACAGTTTGCAAACAAATGAGCAACACCTGTGTAAGTGGACCTGGCATGTCTTGGTTCTCCTGGATTTCCGATCTAAATTACCAAGTCACTTTCACTCCCAGATGCACCACTAATTCATCTGGCAGCAGGATGAGAGGTCACAGTCTCACCTTGAGTTTCCAGGGGAATATCACAAAAACCCGCAGCAATAATGGGACCCAGGCTGGGTCTCCATGGACCTGCCTACCTTGGTCCCCTGGTTCTCCCTGAATTTCAATGTCATGGGCAAGAAAAAGGAAAGAAATGGTCCCTACCCTCACAGCACACACCATCCAGGAAGACTGACCCAACGAAACATACAATAGGAGGGCAATACAAAGTAGCATATGATTCATCCTCTTCTTCATTCAGCCAAGGTGTCTGGCATTTTTATCACATAATGAATAAGAGTAAGGGCTCAATGTAAAGATGATTACACCCTGCAAGCTGCAGCAGCTGGAGGGAAAACATGAGAATTTAGCTGAAATAAAAATTGCATGGGTTTGTGACACACAGCATGGAGGAAAATAGATATCCGCCATACTATTCTATCCCTATATTGTACAGGAAAAATAAAGATGAAAAGACTGTCCTCGTCTCCAAGAAATGCATAAAGAAAAAGATAAGACAGATACGCACTCAACTAACCAGGACAAGTCACCCTTGAAGGAAGGACCTCCCACCCACTCTGCGTCAGGCCTGTGCTGGCCACCTTGCCCGCCCAACTGGTCTCTTTCACCCTCACCACCCCATCTCATATCGCCAGGCAGAACAGTTCAGGGCCTCCGGACTAGATTAAAGCCACATCGTTTCCAAGACCAGTTCGCCATTTCCTGTGCAATTCCAGGCAAGCAACAGAACTCCTTGTGCCTTGGCTTCCCCATCTGTCAAATGGAAATAACAGTGGTACTTTCTTCCTAGCGTGGTGGTTATGATTAAATGAGAGAACCCATGCAAAGGGCCTGCCCTAAGGGAAAGGTCCAATAAGCACCTGTTCCTGTTAATAATTTTCAGATACGAAAATTAATTTTCTATTTTACAGGCAGGAAAACCAAGGTGTTGAAAAGTGAGGGGGCTTGCAGAAGATCTCACAGATAGTAGATAGAGCTATCATTTGATTTCTGGTTTGTGAGGATGGACATAGAGGAGGGTTGGGGTGGGGATGGTGATGCTCCTGGAGTTGTGTTCTTTGATCTGAGAAGGCTACAGGCTGCATAGAAATTGGAGGCTTTGAAACGGCACTTTGTGGGCCCCTAATTTGAACTTTAGGGACCACTTTTTTTGGGTTAGGGGTTGTACCAGTAACTAGGAGAACAAGGAAGTGACTTCTCCCCTATTTTAACCAGAAGATGTCTTAGCTGAAATTTTTCTAAATTATAGTGGAAACATAAGTCCTTTCTTTGAGAAGAAAACATTAAGAGGCATAAGTTTCCTTTTAAAAGGAGAACTGAGGGACTCTCATCTGTGGTCCAGTGGTTAAGAATCTGCCTTCTAAGGCAGGGAACACAGGTTTGATCCCTGGTTGGGAAACTAAGGTCCCTCATGCTGTGGGTCAACTAAGCCCTTCAAAAAAATAAAATAAAAAAGAGAGAGAGAATTAATTTTGATTAAAGAGAGTCAAGTTTGGGCTTCCTGGTGGCTCAGACAGTAAAGAATCTGCCTGCAATGCAGGAGACTGGGGTTTGATCCTGGAGAAGAGAATGATCACCTGGAGAAGGGAATGTCAACCCACTCCAGTATTCTTGCCTGGAGAATTCCATGGACAGAGGAGCCTGGCAGCCTACAGTCCACGGGGTCGCTAAGAGTCAGATGCCACTGAGCAACTAACAGTTTAACTATCTGTCTCAGGCTAGTGCTCCATCCATATCCCTGGTCTCCCCACTCCCGCTCCCTCACTGCCCCCCCCAGCCAGTAAACATTAGCCTACGCACCGTATCCCAGGCCTAAAAGGACGTGGCCAGCAAAACAACACCTCCCGAATATGTTTACATATTAGGTAGCTGAATATAAACAGATGGCCTATTTCCCACATGAGAGTGTCCATGGAATTCTTCAGGCAAGAATAATGAAGTGGGTTGCCATTCCCTTCTCCAGGGGATCTACCCAACCCAAGGACTGAATCCTGGGTCTCCCATATTGCAGGCAGACTCAGGTCCCGGGTCTCCCATATTGCAGGCAGACTCAGGTCCCCGGGTCTCCCATATTGCAGGCAGATTCTTTACTACCTGAGCCACCAGGGAAGCCTGATAACTTCTAGGGATGCAAATGAATTAGTACTCACTCTCTTTATTTTTTTCTTTGCCATTCTTTGTTTTGTTTTTTCTTATTTATTTTAATTGGAGGCTAATTACAATATTGTGGTGGTTTTGCCATACATTCACATGAATCAGCCATGGGTGTACATGTGTCCCCATCCCGAACCCCCCTCCCACCTCCCGCCCCATCCCACCCCTCAGGGTCATCCCAGTGCACCAGCCCTGAGCACCCTGCCTTATGCATTGAACCTGGACTGGCGATCTATTTCTCATA